ACAGTTCTTGTTGCTGTTCTGTGCAGTCAGAGCAGTAAATGACTGTATAGGATTTAGCATTAGAAGTGACTGGCATAAACCTAAAATACCCAAGACAGTACTTCCTTTGGAGTTTCTTGGTATTTTTAGACTGTGGAAACTTGGGAGTTCAAGAGGATAGTGTGTTAAGCAGCAGCTACAGACATTTCTTTGCAATCATAATAATTAGTGAAATTCATTAGGAGAGTAACTGAGCTGCCAATGATAAGAATATAATGGTAAGTACTTGGTACCAGATCAGGAGCCAGAATTTGTACTAGCATAAATTCACTGCTTTGAAGGTTTCTATGGAGGAGTCACCGAGTTAAGATTCTGATCATACTCTGATCTAAAGTTAGTGGATAACAAAGAGTAATTAGATCCTACTCATTTCATCCCCTTTGTAGTCAGGATAGAATTCAATGGCAGCATTTTTAGCACCTCCTACATCTTTCTGTGAAGTTCAGGTAAATACACAGTGGCTTAACTTCCGTCAGCTGGTATAGATGGGATCATGTTCTCACCATCTATTCTCTTTCTCTATAATGTCTACTGGCACAGAAATTGAAGGTTGCCCATTGCTTATTCGTCCTATTTTAGTTTTGTTTGTTTGTTGAGAGAGGGGTTGGGTTGGGGGTTTTGTTGTTGCTTTTGTCTGTTTGGGGGTTTGTGGGGTTTTTTGCCTTGATATTTATCTTCTGGCTTCCTTATGCCTTCACTTCCTAAAACCAATCCATTTCAGAATGCTGTTACTTGTCTGTTTGTGAGCAAAAACACACATCACCACCTCTAAAAGCATTTTGGCAACAGAGTTTAACAGGACTTTCAGAAAGGTATGTGTTTCAGTTGCATGTTTCCTCAGGTCCCTGCCCTCTTTTTCCATTTGCTGTGGTGTAATCTCATGACAGATAGTACATACAACCTTGCTTTGTACAATTTCCCTTGCAGCTTTCATAGGTGTCCCTTATTCATTTTAAGGCAGACTACTGTAACCAGTCTTCTGCATAATGCAGGTCATGAAGTTTTACCCAACTCTATGCATCAAATCCTCCTTCACCTCTTTGAGATGTAACCTTCATCCTTGTAAAACATGCCTAATTTCACCAAAGCTATTTGATAGATATTCCTTCTTAACTGTTAACAGCCACTGCTATGTAATTCCCCACCCACTCTGAGGGAAAAGAAAAACTCTCCTCCTCCCAGACACCAAGTTTTCTTGTACAAAGCTTCTATTATGGATTATGGTAGATGACTTTGTTGTTGTTCTTTTTTTTTTTTTTTCCTATGTACAAATAATTTAAATTCTTCAGCTGCATGCAGATATGTAACTTCTGGGAAATTTAAATGCTGGAAAGAAGTAACATAGCATTGAGCATGTGGTGCTGTGCATCTCCACTGCCTCTAGTTTCAAAAGCTTCCCCTAAGTGTGTGCAGAAATTCAATATAGTCTATATTGTTTTGAAGAGCTGTTTTTACATTGCTTCTTTCATCTTAATAGAAAAGATTTAAATAAAGTTTGGAGATACATAGTTCAAAGTATATATGCTCCCTGCACAGATTCTGTCATATGGCCTCCTTGTCCCCTATCCAATGGAGCCAGGTTTCACTCGCTTTCACTCACTACTTTTTCATACTACACTTCAGAAAAAGAGAAGAACTTAAGTTAAATAAAAGGATTCTCATGTTAGGGTTTATATGTTTTAGTGGCTTCATGAGCATCCTAATTGGAGAGAGAGATGAAATAAGTTTAGTATGTTATTTTGTAAGGTGTTGTATTAATACAGTGATAGGCAAGGCCTGCTTTGGTGGGCTTGCCCTGTACATGGCCAAGATGGACAGAAGGAAGAAAGGGAAGCAGAAACACAGCGGTACAGCATTTTACTCAAGTTTGCACAGCCTGACCAGTGATTGCTGTGACTCCTAGCCTTGTCTGTAGCTTTTATTGCCTCCTGAGACATCATTGGTGTTCATAAACAGCAAACTGGAAAACCACGTAATTCTGCAGATGCTGTTCTGTCTTCTCAAAGTATTTTTGTAATGGTGCATGTCTGTGAGAGGTGTTCTGAGGGTGAGGCTACTGTTCTGCAACCATGCTTCTACTTATGTCCTTGGTCTTCCCAATATGTAGGTGTTTGTGGACTTTCTACTCTGTAAAGAGATGAGTCCTAATAAACTCATTATTATTTTATTGGAATATTTCCTGAAAGCTTTAAAGACACTGGTATGGAAGAACATTTAAAGCCCATGCAATCCATTAACATGCAGGATGTTGCTGCAGGATGCCCAGAGGTTTTCAAGCAGAGTTCAGGTACATTGGCAGAGAGCTAAAACAACAGCGGTGGTTCCCAGGCAGCTCCTCCACCTTCAATTCAAGTAGCTCTTGCTTACCCTGGTTATACAGAGCAGGTTTACAGTCATGACTCTGGCTCTTAGTTTCCACATTACCAGATGCTGCTTGGTCATTAGTTCCAATATTAAATTTCCATGGAAGCATCTGTGCAATTGATGTAGGAATGATGTTAGATGATAAGCGAGCACAGAAGCATAATTACAAGTAGAAAAGGTGAAAGTCTGCAATGATCCCTTTTCTAGGACATGGCCCCTGGCAAGAACAACTGTTGAAAAGACCCTCTGGAAATATTCAGCCTGCTACTGAAGATCATATTCCTTCTTCTGTGTGATGATCCTGATTCAGGTTCAGGCCCTCTTTTGGAAAGCATTGTACTACTGTATTTCCTTATGTTCTGTCAGTCAGAATCTTGGTTTTAGAAAAGTGAGCTTGCTAGAAGATGAGCACCTGATGTAAAGGGTCTTTAGCTTTCAGTTACATGCCACCCTTGGAGTACTCAAGGGCATATATAGACAGTGTGTTATTTGGATCAAGGTGACTCCTTTTCTTGAGTGTCATACAGGTAGTGTTAGTACTGTGCTGATAATAAATGCATAGAATCAGGGAAGACAAAAAGCACAAGTGTACTGATTTCTGTAAGAGTAACATAACAGATGCAATTAACATGACACAGTTTATGCTAGAGAGCAGCTCACCAAGGCAGTTGGAGTGTTTTGGTGCTTCAGCAAACCTTTTTATTACATTGTGACTTTTTTAAAAGGTTGAGATAGTTCATTTTTACACATTTCTAATGAGTTCCTTTATGGAAAATAAACTTTTTGGACAATTTATCCCATGGTAAATTGCAGGATGATTTTATTAAATGGAATGTCAAGGCAAATTATGAAATATATATTTAAAAAAAATAGGCGGCTTAGCCTTATTTTTCACCTAAGTTAAAAACCTCACACTTACAAAGCCTTTGAAAACAAGAGCCTTTTCAGAACGGTCGGCGTGTGGTCTTAACAAGGTAAAGATCACCGTGCCAGGGGATACAACTATGAGGATGACCGTCGCTCTCCTACAGCATACCACAAAACTCACTAGGTGGAGCTCTAAGGTACCAGGTAATCTCTCTGGGGACCTACATGGGAGAAACGCTCAGTGTATTCATGGGAGGACTCGAGCGTGGAATTCACACTGCACCTCAGCGTAGTCACACAAAAATATGGGACGGGAATTAAAATAATAATACCCCTGCCCCACCACTGAAGGATTAAGAACGAGAATGCTCAGAGCAGAGGTCTAAACATTCAGAAAGCAAACAGCTTCTGTGCTGTGCACTAGTTCCTTAGTTCTAGGAAGGAAAGAGAGTGGCATGTACTTTCACTGACCAAGCAGCTGGGCTGAGCAACTTCCTTTACATTTCCTTCCCTTCCCTTCCGGCTGAAATGTAATGAATAGTGCTACTCTATGGGCAAGTGTGTTGTACTGAAACAGGCAAACTTTGGGGAAGAACTTGACAAAAGGAGACATCTAAGGCTATGGTGGGATGTATTACCCAGAAGACAAGTGTATGTCACATGCATCAACAATCTTGCTGTGGAGTTAGGAGTTAAAATAACCTAAAGAACAAGAGGCAATGGTCTCAAGCTGTGTCAGGGGAGGTTTAGGCTGGGTATTAGGAAAAACTTCTTCACCAAAAGGGTGATCAGGTATTGAATCGCTGTCCCTGGAAGCGTTCAAAACCCATGTAGATGTCACTGAGGGCCTCATGGTTTAATGGTGGTCCTGGCAGTCCTGGGGTCATGGTTGGACTTGATCTTAAAGGCCTTTTCCAACCAAGTTGATCCTGCAATGTCAGAGGGTGGGCATCTACGAAAAGTGTGAAGTGAATAGGGGTGCAAGGTCATAATGAGGAACACCTGCAAGCTATGTCAGTGCTTTAAAAACCATCAGTGTGCAGGACTTCAGGGTTATGCAACTGTCTCTGAGGGGGTAAATTTTCATGTTTAGGTTTAAAACAGTAAGATATTTCTGCTTCCGAGTGATGGTGACTTTCGCACTCGTAAATTCGTATCTGCAGCAAGAGCAGTTTACAGCTTCCCTGATGATTGTGGGGAGAAGGCCTGGCCCAGGCCAGGACACAGTCACAGGCGGAGACTCGGGTGCAGCGAGGTTTGGGGAAGGCTCTGGCTAGGGCAAGCACTTCCAGCAGCCAGGCGTCTAGTCATGATGCGAAGGGAGTGGGGACGGCCGCGCTCCTAGGAGTTAGTTAAGGCTGAGAGGAAGGGGGGGGACGGGGGACGGACGGGGCGTTTTCCTTTAGTCTGAACCTAGTGAGGGTGAGAAATCCCTCTCAACGGTTGTCAAGGAGATGGGCGGCCGGGTCGGCCGGACTGTCTGCCCTCAGAGCCCGCAGATAGGGGTGGGGGAACCATTTCCTGGTGGCCCCCTGCGAAGGGCACTGAGAAGGAGATGCGACCCCCTCCTGCCTCCCAGAGCCGCTCCCGGCCGCGGGGGGGCGCCCTCCGGGGTAGGGGAAGAGCATAACGGTCCGCACGCGCGCCCCAGTCCCTGAGGGGAGCAAAGCTGGAGCAGCCGAGGGCGCCCGGGGCCGGAGCCCGGTGAGGCCGGTCTGCAGGCTTCCTACCTGCTGGGAGATGTAAGGGGGGCGCGGGTGTCACGCCGGTAGGCACCTAACAGACATCTCTTGGGGCGGTAAGAGTTCGACCGCCTCACCCACCGCCCCCACTCCGGCGGCGGCGGGGCTCAGGGGCAGTCTCGGGGGCGGTGGGAACGGCTCGGCCCGCCCCGGCCCGCCTCCGCCGCGGGAGCCCCGGCGAATCAGCGGGGCGCTGTCAAGGCGTCAGCGCCGGCGGCTCCGCGCGGCTGGCCCCGAGCGCGTCCCTTATCGCAGACAGGCACCGGGGGCCGGGGATCGCATCTTTATCATGGGCACTGTTTGCTTTTCGCGGCGCTGCTGTTTGCTCTTTGCTCTCGCCTGGGCCGGCAGGTTGGCAGGAGGCAGCGGGGGCGCAGGTAAGAGGGGACTTCTCTCCGGGGAGCACCGTGTTTGTCCGCTCTCCCCTCCCTGGTGTAAGGTGCCGAGGGGGAGGTTACTTCTTGCTGCTGGTAGCGCTGGGGGTGTTGGAAGTTGCGGTGGAGCGGCGTTCTCTCGCGTGTTTGACGCTACCGGAGCCAAGGGACGTCTGGAGGGAAGGACGGGGAAAGAAAAGTTACTTTCCTTGAGTGCCCAGAAGGTACTGTGTGCTGAATCCCAGGGACTCCGCAGGGGAAGCGTTGGCTGTTCTCTCTTCACAGGTTTTCCCTGTCTGCGCATTAACCCAAAGAACTAGCGTTTCTTCACAGACGCGCTCCTATCTCTTACATAGCAGTAATGGTATTAAGTCTTTGCTATGGTATTTAAGAAAAAAATCCAAACCAGCATAAACACCCCCAAGCCCCCATCTGTCTAGGAATTTTGTAAGCCTAAAGTAATTTCTTAAAGATGTGTATGCAGTCTCTGAAGTTGTGCTAGAAGAAATCCTTTAAGGTAAAGTAGTGGTGGGGGAAAAAGGGGGCAGTGGAAAATCTCCCTCAGATACATAAGTTTAAATGCAACAAAATGAACAAGGTCAGCGTCGAAGTTCTTAAAGTCTAAGCAATGCAGTGTGAGATGTGGAGCAGAGCAGGGGCTCATATTTGGTTTTGCCCTTTCATTTGACTCATTGGCATTCACGTCTGACTCCCAGGCATCCTCTGGTTGCTGTGAAATGTCCCCCTTGGCTCAATGTAGTTTGAATTTTTGACGGCATTATAAAGAGTCCAGCTGTCACTTTCGCTGATCTTGATGGGAGATGGGTGCTGGTTTAATGAGTCAAAAGTATAAACCAAAACATAAAAAAAAAAAAAACACAACCAACCAACCAACTCAAACCTTTTCATTTTGTGCTTGACCAGATCTGTGTCTGATCCGGGCAAGATCCGCAGACCCCTAAACTAATTTGCGTAAATCATAGCTAGACCTGAACCGGCTCAGAGGTTAAAATAAACGGAAAAGAAATGAGGAAACATTACAGCAGCCCTGCGTTTCTCCAAAAAAAAATATGACGCCCTGCGTTCTGTACCCCTCTTGCTTAAAAAGATTAAAAAAAAATACATATATATGTAACAACAATACAGAATGCAGGCAGCTCTCTTGGTGGGGTCCTCGAGATGCCCCCCTCGGAGCCGTCCTGGTCCGCACCTCTTGGAGCAGTCCTCTGCTGTGTGCCATGGCACCGTGTCTGATTATTCTTCCTCTTTAAATAGCCTTCTCCAGTCCCCGGTGACTTTGAAGGATCCGGGTGTTATCACTGGAGATGGCTGAGTGAGCACTTCTGAAACAATTAGCGTTGGGATTTCAAGCTAACAATAAAACTGTTTTCACTTTGGTGCCCCTTTTTTGAGGATCTGTTAATCTAATTGGCATGAAACCAACTGCACGTCTCTCAATGGATGCCCCCTTTTCTCTCTGCTCTCCTTCCTTCCCCCCTCCGCAGTACCCCTCTCTCCTGAATACTTCCTAAAAGTAAAACGGAGGCTGTGCTGTGTGCTGCACTGCTCGTTGTTACCGGCTGCTAGCCCGCCCCTCCTGGGCAGAGCGCTCCCCTCCCTGCCCTCTCCCGCGACCCCCAGATGTGAGGAAATCATTGCGAGGTGCGTTACTGACACGACGGCCGCGGCTGACAGCGGCGGCTTGGCCCGGCCCGACCCGGCCGGACTCCCCGAGGCAGTCCCGGCCTCTGGCAGCAGCGGCCCCACCGCAGCCCCTTGCGTAGGGGGCTGCGGGTGACTGAGGTGGCCGGGACCATCTGTGGGGAGCGAGGGGGGCAGGGCCGGTTAGGCAGGGCTTTAAATGTTCCCATGTTAACTGCACACCCCATCCCTCAATAGGTTGGAGCTTTTTTTTTTCTTTCTTTCTTTTTCTTCTATGTTCACTTCATTAACATTCCCACGACTACCAAATCTCGACTCTCTCTCATCCCCCGCCCTCCCCCATCGTCTTTAAATCAGGGAGAGAAAACGACTGCCCGTCACTGAAATGTTTGTAAAGGCTTCCTATCCTGAAAACAAGGAAAGCGGTCTGGGTCCCCGCTGCCCGTGTCTGTCTCACCAGTGCGGCACCCGCCCGAGCAGGGCCTGGGGGGACTGCTCGGACTTCTGCCTTCTAAATGAGTTTTGCTTCGTGGAGAGGATGTTGTTGCAGGTTGCTTTTCTCCATGCTAACTTCCTCAGTTTAATATGGTATTCACTTTTTTTCCTTTTTTTTTTTTTTTTTTTGCCTCTTAATAAAAAGGATTAATGTGGGTTTGCTGTTCAAATATTTCTTTTTCTCATTCCCCCGCCAGCATAGTTTATTTAAACTGGGGTCTGTCTTTCTAACTTAAGAAGATCTCTTTGCTAGAACATGAAGATGGACTCCCCCCCTCCCCCCTTATAGGTAATTTAAACGCTTTCTTGCTTCTTTAAGATGTGGGTCTCCAGCACCAGACCTATAGAGCAGGAGCTAATTTTTAGTATGTCTCATGATTTCCTAATGCAAAAACGTAGGACCAAGTCCCTCTACCTTGGCGGAGCAATGCTTATAAATGACTTAAAAGGAATATCGCTGGTTTGTTCAGTTACTTAACGTCAGATGTTCTCATTTCCAGGATGGCACTCAGAAGGCAGACAAGCAAACAGCTTCTTCAAGTGGGCTATCTATTCGTGGCGGTTTTGTGTGTCTCAGATCTCCATTCTTATCTGTCCCCCTGGGGTTCCTTCTGTACTTCCAGATGTTGACGAGTGCGCAGAAGCTACGGATGACTGTCACATCGATGCGATCTGCCAAAACACGCCGAAATCCTACAAATGCATCTGCAAGCCGGGCTATAAAGGCGAAGGGAAACAATGTGAAGGTAAGTACAGCTCGGCTCTTCTATTTCTCCTCCCCTCCCTTCTCTTATTTGTTTGGTCTTTAAAAGCTTTTGTAAATAGCTGAATTCCTGAAACGATTAATGCAGATTTACAGCTGCTTGACCTCAAATCTCGGTGTTTATTGGCAAGCATCCCCCTGCTGCTTTTGCTAATTGTCCGGCATCAGACGCTGCGTCCGCGAGCCTGATGTTAAAACCAAAAACTAAAGTGTGGTAAGACGCGACGTTCCCCACGGAGGAGACAACCCGTGGATCTGCACTAGCTTGTCCCGGGCGGCGCTGAGCCCGTTGCCGGTTGAGGCTCGAAGCGTCGCGCCGAGCACGTGGTTCCGCCCAGCCGGGGTGCGCCCGTGGGGTGGGGCCGGCCCGGCCCGTCTGGGGTGGAGCGCCTGACTCGCTCCTCGCCACAGGCTGGGCCGGGCCGCCGTGAGTAGCCGGGGCCTCCCTGTGTGTGGCCGTTCCTCGGCTGCAGGCGCCCGGAGTGGCCTCATGCCGTCTCCCGCAGCCGGGCCAGCCAGAGGGGCTGCGGAGAACCGGAGCCGCCGCCCTCCACCGTGGGGCCGCGCCTGCCAATGCGGGGTCTGCGGCCTCTCCACCCTGGCCCAGCCTGGTGTTGTGGGCTGCGCCATTAGCTCTCCGTAGATTACAGCGAGGCACATGGAAGCTTGCACCCTCCGCCTGGCTAACGTGTTATTTACCATCACTCTTCTCTCCCAGTGAAAGTCTCCTCACACCTGGGCCATTTACAGTCGATGTTTTTTAGTATCAACTCACATAGGATACTGGAGCTTGCTTTATTTTGGCACTTTGCATGTGTCATTGTCATCCACTTTTAGTCTGTGGAACGTTATTTTAAAAAGAACTATTTCAAATTACTGTACTTACACAGACATAAGTTGTTTGACTTCTGTATGTCCTTGCAACTGAAAAAGACCTAGCATGAGTTGTTGGGTGCTGTGTACACTCATTTCAGATTTTATGAACTCCATCTTGCTATTGAACTTCAGCAGACAGATTGTTCTCTGGTGAAAAGAACAAATACTGCAATCACAGCAGAAGGCCTTACAAATAAAAGACACAAGATTATTTTTCTTTTTCCTACTTGTAGATGCTTAGCAGCTATAAAAATTCTGTTTCCAAGTCTTCTCTATGGCAGTCTGAAACGTTTTCAAAGCCTATATTGTCAGTCTGTTAAAAAGATTAGATACCTAGAAATTACTTTGCTGAAGTCTCCAAAAGTTTGAAACCGCATATTATTCTCCATGGACTTCCAAAGTGTTTGTTCAAGTGCCTTCATAAAGCATTTTTGTGGTTGTCATTTTTTTCCATTTTGGGCTTAAACTGACAAATTTCTACTATCCATCTGTTGGTGTTCTAGTGTCTCTTAGGTGCTGTTCATTTGCAAGCCAGATCTTTTTTCTTGCAAACAGAATACTCATTCAGCATCACTTCTTCCCCTATTCATCCTTTCTAGGGAAAGAGCTCTGTGTGGAGAAAATATACTCAGGGCCACAGCTGTGGGTGTTACAGCATTCTCAGAATTGGTGGCACTTGTATTGGGTTTCCACATCAGAAGCTTCCTGAAAGCTTTAACCAGATTTTAGTTGATCTCTATTTCATGGTAGACTTGGCTGATACTCATGCTTATTTTATACCCATATTCCTCTTTGCCTGACTTACCTTGGCTCAATAAAAAAGAGAGCTCAGTAAGGAGTAAAAAAGTAGATTTCTCTATGGATTGACATACAGAATCATGGAATGTCTGTGGTTGATGTAAAACTTGTATCTAATGGATTTTAGTATCCGACAAGCTTGGTAAGTAAAGTAAGCTGGGGCAGACTGCAACACATTCTGCCCGGATGTTAATTGTTCAGTGTTAGGTAAATGGACATGAAGTGTCTAAACCAGGTACTACTATGCATGATAAAAAAATCCTTTATCTTTTTTTTTACGCTGTTACTATAAGAGTTTGAAAGATTTTGCATCAGCTCTGTACCTTAAGTTTGTAATTAATATCAACCTTTGAGATGAGCAGAGAGCTTGAATTTTTTTTCAGATGCTTCCTTTCTGAAGCTTATTTTAGATTACTTAAATAGTATCTCTTAATTTGATCCCAGAGTACTTTGAAACTTTGTTACTGAAATTATGTACTTCCAGTGACAGGCAGATATCATTATGTTCTGTCTGTAAGTGAGTAAACTGAAAACTAGAGAGGTGAAGGAAGGGTCATATAAGTCAGACCTAAGATCTGCCTGAGGTCTGTTGTTCACATAGAGTGGGTTTATTTTGCACCTTGAGGTCAAGTATTCAAAACCTACAGAAATAAACAGACTAGCAATATTGATTGGTATTTAATGTTCTGTCGCAAGACAACATGGTAATCAGCCATTAAAAATTACCTTTTAAGATAAAAGTGACTGTGCTTATAATAACAAACATGAAATACACCAAATGTTTTTTTTTGTTGTGCCAAAAACAAAGCTGGGTCATAAAACAATTCTCAGTCTTTATAACTGAGCTTTTCTAAATAAGCTTTTTTGACCACTGAAACCAGTTACCTGTGAGAAAAACTTCTTTTGTACACATTTTGTGTCTTTTCTCTTTAAGTTTGTAGCATTCTACCTGTATTGCTTCATGTCTAAAGAACATTTATTAAAGCATAAGTAACTCCCTTACAATGCAAGCTCTCGTATAGGGCCAGATTTCACTAAATAAGCAGAATTGCAATTTCTTAATACAGTGAGCTTAAAGAAATGATCCTATATGATAAAATTTATTCTAAGTAATTTTAGTGAGCTGCCAGTTTGGGTTATACTGGGGTATTAGAATTGATTCAGAAGCTTGTGGTTGTTAATTTATTTTAAACATCAGTCTTAAATACCGCTTTCATTCACTTAAAATCCATTTTTAGAGAATGGGATAGAGTGTGGGAACCAGCATGATTTGGTTGATTCTTGAGTTTTATAAGAGAAGTGGAGGATGTATTTGTAGTGCAGTATGTGAATAGGTATCTGTGTACTTTTGTATATTTGTGTAGAGCTTTTTAATCAAAGAAAATTATTTGTTTGCAAAATAGGATCTTTGGGCTAGTGCAGTAGTAAATGTGGAGCCCAGTCACTCGTGTAGAATTTTGTTCATGTTTTGCTGCTCTGACCTAAAGGGCGGGGAGAAATACATAAGACAGAAATGTTTAAGCACATGTGGAGAGCTCTAGGAGCAATTCTACTGAAATAAAACATTTTCTTGACAGCCTCTTAAATTCCTTTAGCAAGGAGTTTGTTTCGGAACTTTTATTTTCTCCCAAAATATCTTTTGGATTGGGTTTCTCCAGAGTTTCTGAGGATTTGGGGTGAATTCTCAGTTCGCAGATCTACTGTATCTTTTTTCTTCTTCTTTTTTTTTTTTCTTTTTTTCCCATGGTAGCCTTCTTGCCTGCACCAACTCACCTGTTTCTTTCCAAAGAGCACAGTTATTTATCCAGACAGAAGAGCTGTTCTTCCTGTGTCCTGTCTGCTTCCTTCTGTAGATTTCAGTTCACCTTGTTTTTTTCAACCAACTATCTGCTATGCTTTGTCAAGCCATATGGTCAGCATTGCTGTGATGGTATTTCCCCATGTAACAACACATATCAGTAGGCTTTGACCACAAATTTTCTAGGTAGCATTTTCATATGTCCATTTCTATTCAATATACAAAAACTGTTAATCAAAAACCGATTCAGTTGCCCTGGCAGATCTACTGTTACATCAGAAATCTTTCCTATTGTGATTTTAGTCAGTGTATCAAATGCAGTGACCTGCATTCAGCTCTTTCATGTTCCCATGTTTTTTCTCTTTTTGTCTTTACCTTCTCTGTATTGACTTTCGGTCTCACTACAGGTTGGTAATCTCCTCACAGGCTGATATCTGAATCATAGAATAGTTAGGATTGGAAAGGACCTTAAGATCATCTAGTTCCAACTTCCTTGCCATGGGCAGGGACACCTCCCACATTAGATCGTGTCATCAAGGCTCTGTCCAACCTGCCCTTGAAAACCGCCAGGGATGGAGCATTCACAACTTCCCTGTGCCTCACCACCCTTACAGTAAAGGACTTCTTCCTTATATCCAACCTAAACTTTCCCTGTTTAAGTTTTAACCCATTACCCCTTGTCCTGTCACTACAGTCCCTAATGAAGAGTCCATCCCTACCATCCTTACAGGCCCCCTTCAGATACTGGAAGGCTGTTATGAGGTCTCCACGCAGCCTTCTCCAGGCTGAACAGCCTCAACTTTCTCAGCCTGTATTCATATGGGAGGTGCTCCAGTCCCCTGATCATCCTCGTGGCCCTCCTCTGGACTTGTTCCAACAGATTCATGTCCTTTCTATGTTGAGAACACCGGAACTGCACACAGTACTCCAAGTGAGGTCTCACAAGAGCAGAGTAGAGGGGCAGGATCACCTCCTTCGACCTGCTGGTCACACTCCTTTTGATGCAGCCCAGGATACGGTTGGCTTTCTGGGTTGTGAGCACACACTGAAGCCGGCTCATGTTCATTTTCTCATCAACCAACACTCCCAAGTCCTTCTCCACAGGGCTGCTCTGAATCTTTTCTTTGCCCAACCTGTAACTGTGCCTGGGATTGCTCCAACCCAGGTGTACGACCTTGCACTTGGCATGGTTAAACTTCATGAGGTTGGCATCAGCCCACTTCACAAGTGTGTCAAGGTCCCTCTGGATGGCATTCCTTTCCTCCATCGTATCAGCTGAACCACACAGCTTGGGGTTATCGGCACACTTGCTGAGGGCGCACTCAATCCCACTGTCCATGTCACTGACAAAGATGTTGAACAAGACTGGTCCCAATGCTGATCCCTGAGGGACACCACTCATTACTGGTCTCCAGCTGGACATTGAGCCATTGACCACAACTCTTTGTATGAGGCCATCCAGCCAGTTCTTTATCCACCGAGTGGTCCATCCATCAGATTGATGTCTCTCC